TTGCTTTACTATACGGCATCTATGTTCAGTATATTAAGCCATCAACGATAAATAAGAAATACAGCATACCATGATTAAAAAAAATTTATTTTTACTTTAATTTGGTTTTATGTAGGTAATTAAAAAAATAAAAATATTCCAAACTTTTTTGTTTAATTTTTATCATTTTATTTATGAAACGTTTTCAAAATGTCTTAAAGAACTAGCTTTTTGAAAGAAAAAGCGATAAAAGAGCAGAACTTAATGGATGTATTTTTTCTCATGTAAACTCCATTAAATGACTAGGACCTCTGGTTTCGTGATGTAACATTCACTTCCGTCCAGGATTACTACCACATAAAATTTTGCAGCAATGAGCAAAAAATGTGGTTTACTGCAAATAAAAACAAAATAATGCCGGTGATTTCGAGTTTCCATAAAAAGTACTTTTAGACGCGATTAACGATTTTCCAAATGCTTAAAGATGCTAGTGTAGTATTCATATTGTTATGCTTGCACAAATGCATATTAAATTCGGTGTAACATAATAGCATAAATAATCGTCAATCGCTATTTGCACTCGAAATATTTTAAAAAATATATAGTATTGTCATGTCATATCCTTTATAAAAAACAAATATTTTATTGCAATAGTACTTCATAATAATAAATGTAGTATTTTTTTCATCTAACATACTCCAACGTTGATAGATATAATGCATTTCTAAGAAAATATAAAAATTGTTATTATTTGTATACCTATACTTTATATCGTCGAAGTGATTATTTCAGTAGAACATACTTCTTTGTAGAAAAGGAAAACATTAAATCGTTTTTATTATGTTTTTAAAGTTATGAATAGAATGCTGTGCATTAGATATCGAGTGGGTCACTATAATGGGTGTTTTAAATTTGTATTCGGTGATTATAATTCCATTGTAGACAAAAAACTATTGCCTTACCCGTTTCCATAATATTAATAGTAATATAAACAAATTTAACAGTTATATATATAAAAAAAAATATACATCATAAAATATGCTTAGTAACATGTGATGGCAGACGTCTCTACTCATAATTTTAATGTTTTTTTTTTTTTTTTTGTCTACAATGATTTAATATAATTGAATTCAAATTTAAAACAACTATACAATAGAGTAATATCCATTTTAGGCAAATGTACATAGCTATTAAATTACTTTATTTTAGTTTTAATATTATGATAAGTTGATAATTATTATATATTTTTCTGAAAATATTGCATTTATTATATTATAAGTATTTAACTATTATAATAATTAATAACTTTATAATATTATATCAAATTATATAACTCAAAATGTAATAAATTTTTACAGTAAATATTGTATACCAGTAAAAGTATGTTTAAATTATAAATAAATAATAATAATAACAATGAACGTAGTTTATGTAAATTTACGACGCGAAATCGGTGACAAAAAAAAAAGTTATATTTAGCCCAAAACCTACCTATATGCGTTAAAAATTAATTGAATAAGAAGAGTTTAAAGAATTTAAAAAAAATAAACTATTTTTCATGTCGATGCCCTATAGCCATTTTTATTTGACTAAAATATATCTCAATAATATTTAAGACAGAAAAATGCAATTATCGCAGGTTTTTTGCATTGGTCAAAGTCCAAATGTTCGAGATTAAGTAATGTAGTCTAGTTGAAATGAAATTTTATATACTAATACGTCTTAAAATATTACTTATATTAAATTCTTATGGTTATCGAACGACGTATTGATATTTTAGGTTATATGTGGAATTAAACGTTTCTCTTTCATAGATCTCTTAATGTTGGCACTAAAAAATACCTTTTATGTCCAATGGAAAACCGTTGGGGTGTAGTAATGGAAGTAAATTCGTTTTTTTTTTATTTATTTATTATTATTATTATTTTTTTTTTTTTTTTGGCATACACCCATAGTGTTATCTTACGAAAAGTAAGATACATACGTTGATGACAGTAACCTATACTCTTTAGCAATCTTCACTGCGACGGTGTCTTTGGCTTACCCTGAGAAATATAGATAATAAAATTAATGCACTGCAACAGCTTATCAAATATTTGTGATATTATAAGGTATACTTTTCATTAATTAAAACAATCCTATTAACTATCATTTATCAAAACCTTACAATCGCATTAAAGGTGTTTAATTATTCAATAATGAAATAAGAAGTACACGTTTATTTTAACGGCGTGGCCATAATTACTCTATTTATTCAAATTGTGTAGCTTCTGTAGTTCAAATGTATTTTAAACAAAATCAAGGTTAGGTTCGTAGCGTACCATAATTCATAATAAATATATTGCCTATTCCAAACAAGTATATGTGTAACGTCCCCTCTTTACCGCTTCAATGGTTATATTATAGGTATTGGCCATTAAAATACAATATTATCGTATAGGTTAACGGTTGACCAACCAAACTATCAAAAAATAAATTCATAAAGATCGATCTGATTGTTTTTTACAATAGTTTTATAACATTCATAATATTTTTATAATATTGCATGTTTAACATCGAATTAAATATATATGATTTTTAAAATTCTTAAAACATAGCTCATCGTGGTTAGGTTTTACTCACAGGTATAATGCTTTTCGTGGGTATTGAGCACATGTGGTGCATTTCTTTAACAAATATAATAGTACCATGAAGTACTACAATTTAAATCATACATATTTCACTAAATACAAATAGTATTATGTTTATATGAATCGATTCTTCCGTAGTTATTTATCTTTGTTCGATTCTCTGAAAATTTGTTTAACTATCTAAAAATCAAATACCAATATATTTCAATATTATGGTTATCAATATAATGGTAAACCAACTGAATCATAATGTCTAGTTTTATTTATGAGTGACAAATTTATTTACTTTTACTTTAATACTCATGTATGTACCAAAACAATATATTTTTATTATTTTAAATTAAAATTATCATTTATTTTTGTACTATTTTAAAAGTTATGGGATAATTTTGCGATTAATTTTTGAAAACATTTTTTTTATTAAAAATAGCATGTATTTTATTTTCTAGGTATATAATATTTACATGGTCTTTTACCATGTATGTGAATAAGCCAAAGTTATTTTCATAATTCATTTCATAGCTTAAAATACTGAAAACATAAATTATGCATACAAGTATATTATACGAATGTTCAAGACGGATCTTTTAATTATTATATAAATCATAAAATGAAATTAAAATACTTAAATTTTAAATAAATTTACCATTAAAATATAAATATTGAATATTGTTATAAAAATAACTCAAAATTAGATAGGCATGTTTACATGTTGAGTAATTTTTTTTTTTTTAATAATTGATTATATTACTGTGGGTTTTGTCATTACTCATTAAGTTTGTGACTATAGTCATGTGATATACCAACTTAGCCACAAACCACCATATGTTAGTCAATGAAAAATTATTAATATAATGACGTATAACATTAAACGCAATAAAATACAGAATAAGCTATAGACAATGGATATCTACGTGACTATTTATATGTTTGGTGCCGTTTACCCATTTAGATCGCTTAGTGGTTTCTATTCTGTATTTTTAGCGTTCACGCATAATATTGTTCTAAAATTGCTCGTTCTTAAATAGTGTGTAATCCACAAATATTTTTAATATACTTACCTTGGTTGTAACTGGTAATGTGCAGTATTATATTATCGTTATCTTGACGGGGTCGAATTTTTGATACTTGGTACTTCTACGATAATACGCAAAATATAAAATGATTTGTATAAGTTTAATGTGTTATATTATTATACACTGACATGCTTTTTACATTATGTAGTTATTATGATGCTGAGATTTGCTCCATCTCACATTAAACACTTTAATAGTTCAATTTTATTCAGATTGTTTAAACACACTTTACATATGTTTGTTATGTATTTTATTATTAAAAAATGACGTTATGATAGTAATTGAAACGTGGTGATGGTTTAATGTCCTTGATAAATAAATTGAAGACATAACCTATACTTTGATTATATATTATATTATAGTTACTTATTTATATGTTCTAGTAATATCCATTAAACGTTAATACACTTGAAAATGCCATGAAATTATAGAAGGTATTGACCAACATAATATATTTATATATCAAAGAAACTATCATAACTTAATTAAATTTGTGCATAATATTAATTTTTATTAAATACCTAAATAATAATACTGATTGGTGTAGCTTCATTTTAATTATAAGTACTAAACTAAGTTAAATTAATGTGCATGTGTCATAATAATCATATTTTTCTAGGTAAACTTTTATGGGCTAAACGATAATTATATGCACTTATATAACAATAAATAAAATAAGTTATGAATACAATATTTGTATGATATCAAGTTAGTAAATACTAAAATTTTGAAGAATGAAAATAAGTATGAATGGCGGTATAAGTTTACCAGGAAAACAAAGTAATACAAGCAGGTTTAATTAATAGTACGAAATAAATAATCATACGAACATATTAAAATGTTTGAACAACCCAGTGAATTGAAATATGGATACACAACACACATCTATTCAAACTATAAGATATGGTTGTGTGGACCATGAGGAGCTTAATCACGTTTTGACAATGAAGTCCTGTATTGCTATAGTTTTTGATTAGCTCTTATAAATCGTTGTAGAAACAGTATCCATTTTACTTTTGGCGTGTATCGGTTGTGAGGAATGTTTTATTCATATGATACGTTTTTACATTAAAGTATGTGTATTTTAGAATTGCAGGCACTTTGGGAGCGCACAACGTTTCTAGTGTTTCGTAAAATCTTGATACGTGGTCTAACAGAACGTTTTTGCGTAGATGCTTATGGAATGTCTGTTATTTGTTAATATTTTATTCCCGTACTGTCATAATAGAATTAACTATTTTGTCTATTTCTTTACGTATGAAATTGTTTCATATTAAAATATATTTATAATAATTACCTATTTAATTTGTTTCAGAACTTGAAAAATCAGATTATGACCACCAATTTGTGGGTAGAGCAGGTAATATTGTTATTTTCATGACTATTATAAATTATAATTAATCGATAAGATCAGAGTATTATACGGCCGTTTTATATCTACAAATAAATTACTACTTGATGAGGATTGTATTTTGTCTCTTAAAGTTCCATGTCATTGTATCAAAGCATGCTATGATATTCCTATATAGGGTTATCGAGCTCTCTACTATCCATCCTTTATTTCACTGTGTTGGCAATCAATAAACCCCATTGTATAATATGGTATATACGTATATATTATTTATGTATGGATATATTCTTTTTTATATAATATATATACTTTTAAAGAGTGGATACTATGTTTCATTTTTATCGTTTTCAAAAGAATGTAAGTTTAAAGAAAAAAAAATGCTCTCTCTAACGAATGAAAATCATCAAATCATCTAAAATTGAAATATTTTTGATGAAAACCTTATAATTTATTTAATAATATTACTATGATACATATCATTGAAAACATAACATTTTAAAATGAAATATAAACCAAATTAAATCAAGTTGCAATATTAAGTTGAGAAATTTAAATTGCTATTTTCAAATATGGTGCATTTTATTGTACGATTACATATTATTTTAAATACAGAATTTTTTAATTTGTATACATTATATTATTATTCATTCTTAAAAAACACACATAAAATTATCCTAAAATTTGTAGAAAATACAAAAATTTATCAAATTTTATCATTTAAAATATATTTAGTAGGTAAACAATAATCTCAACGTAATTCAAATCACATAGGCACAACTATTAGTTATATAAACAAATACAAATTTGAGATCTTTAAACAATTGTTTTTTATGATAAAATTTAACTGTAATTTATATTATTTCCAAATCATTAAAATAAAACATTATCATAATAATATGTTGTGATTAAAATATAAATTAGTATAACAGGGAAATATTTCCATTAGCTAGTGGTTATAATAATCTATAGAGCGTGAAAATAATATTATTCCACAGCGTATAATTTACCAGACTAAAATATCATTTTCATATTCATGAAGGAAATAATGAACTACAATTTTTCATTAATTAATAATAACCAAAATATAAGATTCCTCTTGATTATTGAAACGAAAATACCATAGTATTAAATATTTATATGAAAGGTATGTATGATTTAAATCTGGCGAATAGTCAATAAAGAACGTGAAAATATTTAATACTAAGAGTGGTAATCTAAAACGACGTCCAACTATATATGTATATTAAATGACGTATGTGACAAGTATAAGGCCAACTCAGAACAGATGTGCACACTAAGACACCATACACGTATATTTACATATTATTAAATAATACATTATGCTTATGACTTAAGTATTATACATATTATGTTTTGATGAACTGCGTACATGAGTTAGTTACTAGGACTACGTTAAAATAGTTATTTGATAATCCTTTACTATATGATTGTAAAAGAACTGTCTCGTGTTTATATATATATATATATATATATATATTATATATGATGCATTTTTTATAGCTAAATTTTTAAACAATGTTTATGAATTATATTAATTTCCGTTATCCTGTTGTATTGTTATAATCACAAAGTGAAATCACATTACTTTGTTTCTTAATATTACTAGTTTTTGTTTTCAGCTCGCTTGATTATATTAAAAACTGTAAATGAGATTTCTACTTTAACATTTTTTTGAGGAAATAATACCAAATACGGTATTTTATTTGTTAAAATGAATCCATTCAGATAAATTTAAATTAAAATTTCAAGTTATTGAGAAATTCTATAATTCAATAAGTAATTCATTTTAACCTAAATAAAATACGACGTGATGTTTCAATATTAAAATTATGTCGTAGTTAGCTAAGAAGTTTTCAATAAACTTCTTATTCCAAAATGTGATCCCTTGCCCTCGCTATCGTATATCAAATATGGGTCATCTATAAGTTTACATTAGTGTTGCTTGCCATAACTTTATCACAGTTCAGCTCATCCCCTTCGATTTCAAAACCAACTTATATAGAATATTATAACACTATAGTTTAAACTGCGATTTTCACAGTACTTCTTTACACTAAAACTATCAAAACTATTCTCGAAATTCAGACTATTACTGTAGTTTAATATTTGGTATATACACGAATATTTATAACACATATTTATTGATCATTGATGACTTATTTGCAATAAAATAAAGCAACTTGAGTTAAATACTTTGTGTTAATAAATATTTTACCTTCTTTATAACTGTTATCAAAGTTCTTTTTCGAATAGATTTCTTTTTAATTATAATAAAATTGGAAAAAAATATGAATTTCAAAATAAAACATTAAATATAGTAAAAATAGTAATTACGAGTATTCATCTGAAAATAATTAAAGACAATTCTTCTAATGATAAATGAAAAATTCAAATATAATAACTAATATATATGTTACGGTAAATGATGTTATATCAGAAATTAACGTTATTCGCCGGTTATTAACGTTATTTACCAACGAATGTGGGAATTATCGTTATTTTCTAGTGAATAACGTTAATAACCGTATGATTTGGGAAATTTTGATCTGATTATAAAATAAAAGAGGTTATTGCGGAAGATTTAAAAAAATAACCAAAGAACCAATCATCAAAGAAGACAAAATCGGAAATTAAATCATAGAAATCGCAGAAAAAAATTCGGAACTTGGTACTTAAATATTTTTTAATTATTTAACGATAAATTTCCGAATTTTAAATATAACAAAAATAAAACTAAAATATAAATATTTGAAAATTATTTTAAATATTTTTTTGATGATTGTCAAGAAAATATTTGTATTGCATGTAAAAATTCAAAAAAAAATTTAGAAAAACAAGGAGAGGAAATGATGAAATTTTCTAAAGAAAAGTTTCCTCAGCTTGAAATAGGCTTAACTGTATGTGTATTTATACCAAACGTTGATAGAGCTCGTGGTTCTATGCAAAATATACTATCAGTTGTCACTCAAGTTGAACATGATTTATACAAACTCTGTAAGTTAATTTTTAATGAAAAAATATACTATTAAAATTAAAATTTGTTTTATTATTTTATAAGTACGGAATATAGTTTTCTTAAATATTATTTCACATGTCAAAAATAGCTGTTTGCAAATAAAATCTATTAGACAAGGACAATGTGATAAAATTAGCAGATGGTAGACAGTTGACACTGAGGGAAGTAGCTAGTAATAATTCGGTTGCGAGCCCTCGAAGGTACCAGCGTTGTCATTGCCAGACTAGTTGTAATAATAATAAGCATTGTGCCTACCTTGGGGCTGAAAAATTATGTTATATTAAATGTCATGGGAGTAAAACTTGTAAAAATAAATAAAAAATAATAATGCATTTATTCTATTTTTAAAAATATCTGGGTACTTACATAATTTTTCAAATTGTAGTATTTGAGATTCATGCGCTTATCTGGTTTATAACATCAATTACCTGTGTATTTAGTCATTAACGTGATTATCCAGTTTATAACGATAATTACCTGTATATTTGGTAAATAACGTTAATAACCGGTGAATAACGTTAATTTCCATTTAACATCATTTACCGTAACATATACATTATATATTTATACTTTACATAAAAAGTACACGACACCCACATGCGGTGTCTCCATCTTATAAATGCATAGCATATCAAATTGTTCGATCTGAATAATTTATTTAACTCTGTCATGATAATATTACATTGGATTTACCTATTATTAATTTTAAAAGTAAAAATATAAATTAATAAATTTCATGGGGTTTTTTATTTTATTTTTAAAATGAGTTATGAACATTTAAAAATCTAAATTGTACATTTTAAAATGTTCATTACTCACTTAAAATAAAAATATAAAAACTTATAAGGTTCACTGGTTTATATTTTTACTTTTAAATTTGATAATAGATAAATTCACTGTAATATTAAACATGACAGAGTTAAATGGATTATTCAAATCGAACAATATGCTATGTTATACGTTTGTAAAACGGAGACACCGCATGTAGGTGTAGTGTACTATAAACACTTGTATTATAAAAAAATAAATATATTTCTAAAAACGAATATTGTATCAAAATAAACATATTATTAAATATTTATTATACACAATTTGTTTTTGATTTAAAGTAAACTATGTATTAAATATTTTTATTTTTTAGTATTTTTCCAACGTATAGTTATAATATATTAAAAAATTATAGTAAAAAAGTGGTCAGTTGTCTTGAAATCTATAAATACAAGATAAACTGAAACATAGTTTGATAAAAACAATATAAAAATAATGCTGTAAACCATCCAATATATTGTAATCGATTATAATTCTAGTCAATCAGATTATCGTAAAATTTATATAATACAATAATAATAAAACTACGTAAAATATTCAGAAAAAATATTGATTAAGTAACCATTTCTAGAATAATACAGTTTGGTGGGGTTAGATTACCTATCAGTGCTGTATTATACGTATTATACTAACGCTTTTTTAATTGTTAATAAATAATGTCCCGGTTTTGGTTAAACAGTAATATTACTCTGCATAAAACGATGAAATGTTTTAGTAACATTTATAACCGACTGAATTTTGAAATAATTTATTAATATTATCGATGTCTGTAGAAGAAAAACAGAAAAACTGAAAGGATAATCGGACACATATTATTATTGAATTGTCGGGTGAATGGGACACGTATGAAGCCATATAAATATTACGCGTCCATACTTACGCAAAAATTGATCTGTATACACATACATTGGCCTCACCAATCGTACATCACTGTCATCAGATTTTTGCCATTGCCCAAATGATAGATTCATCCACTTAATATTTGCGGAGGGTCCCGGCAACGACCATGTAACGTTGTTTGAACTCGTGTAAAAAAAATGTTACCATGTCTGCGGCGAGTTTCCGTCCTCACGCAGAATCCCCCCCCCTCGCCCAATCCAAATTTATCGTATGTTTTTTTTGTTTGTATTTGCTTGTTAGATAT